TTATTATTATTATTATTATTATTATTATTATCATTATTATTATTATTATTATCATCGGTATGAATATTATTATTGGTGGGTGTCCCTGATATGGGAGGATTATTGGTGGTGTTTTGGTGAATATAATAATATAGTGTATAATATTGATATTGGTGGGAATATTATTATTATTATTATATTGATTATAGTTACTATTGTTATTAACATTATTATTATTTTGGTGAGATAATAATAGGATTATTATTACTATTATTATTATTATTATTATTTTATTAAGTTATTAACATTATTATTATTTTGGTGAGATAATAATAGGATTATTATTACTATTATTATTATTATTATTTTTATTATTATTATTAAGTTATTATTATTATTGGGATTAGAAAATTAAAATAGAGAAGGAGAGGGGTTAGCAGTTTTACGATACATTGTAAGAAGTTAGAGAAAGTGAAAAAAGAACGATAGAAAGGAGAGAACGGGAAAAGGAACGGAAAAGGGAGCAAAGAACGAAGGATACAAGGGAAAATCAGAATTGGCCAAACCTTGGAGGGTTCTTTCATCGATCAACCGATTAACAAGGTAAGGGGGGAGAAACTTGATTTGGGATGGTATATACATGTATAGGGTAGAGGGGATTCCTTAACCCCGTAGGAAAATTCCGATCTATGAAGTTTTATATTGGCATGCTTGTTATTATTGTTGCTAATGATAAATTGATGCTTGACATTGATGAATTGTTGATTGGTATTGGTGAATTTGGTGTATATATATTATGGTGATGTTAGTGAAATTATATGTTGTTACTGCAGTGTTGATAGTAAATATAAATAGAGTTTTGGTGAGATTCTGTGTTGTTACTGTAGTGTGGGTAACGACCATAGTTATAGCTTTGGGGAAAATTATATGTTGTTACTGCAGTGTTGATAGTAAATATAAATAGAGTTTTGGTGAGATTCTGTGTTGTTACTATAGTGTGGGTAACGACCATGATTATAGCTTTGGGGAAAATTATATGTTGTTACTGCAGTGTTGATAGTAAATATAAATAGAGTTTTGGTGAGATTCTGTGTTGTTACTGTAGTGTGGGTAATGACCATGATTATAGCTTTGGGGAAAATTATATGTTGTTACTGCAGTGTTGATAGTAAATATAAATAGAGTTTTGGTGAGATTTGGTGTTGTTACTATAGTGTTGGTAATGACCAGGATTATAGCTTTAGGAAAATTATGAGTTGTTCCCTGTGATGTTGTTAGTGACTATGGTTAGGACCTTGGTGGGATTCAGAGTGACTCTGAAGTGTCGGTAATGTACCGTAATGTTGGTTCTAGAGTAGGAAGTATAGGATAATTGGTAAGTATAATGTTTATTGGTGTGTTTGTGTTTGATGATAACTAGTAATTGATAGTGATGGAGTATAAGTCAATGTTAATGAATTGGTGTTTTGGGATGATTTGGCATATAGGGCATATAGGGTGTTTTACAGTTTTTAGGAAAAATTCCGTATGGCTTTTGAGGTATCGGTAAAGTGTGTAGGTGATGATTTTGGGAATAGGAATTAGAAACCTATTGGTTACGGTAATGTGCAAGATTGGTACTAGAATAGACTGAGGATCCGAGTTGAGATGATAGGTACAGTTTGGCCTTGATGCACTGTAAGAATGATGAGTGTGGGAACTAACTTGTGTACTTGGTGATAGTACATGTTTCCCGTAATAATGACTGGTGGGCAATTAGTCGATATATATGTGGGTAGTGATCAGTGGGATCGTGTATTCCCCGAGTGTTGAGATGTGTTTATATATGGTGTTAGAGTGTGAACTCGTTTAATATCTAATTTAATTAAAATGAATGATGGGTGTATCATGTATATGATTATGGTGCAGTGATCAGTAGGATCGTGTATTCCCCGAGTGTTGGGATGTGTTCATACTTGGTGTTAGAATGTGAGATTGCTCACTGTGTGAATTGATTTATATGGTGTTGGTGTATGTTATATCTGTACATATATGCATTGATGTATGATGATATGATCAGGAGGATCGTGTGCACGTTGAATGCCTAAAAATATTAGTTATGCATTGGTGTGTGCATATCATGGTGTTTTGGTGGGATGAATCATGTCTCAGGAGGAGCGTAAGTGATTCATCCGTACTCCTTTGTGGAGAATGGTGGGGGATAGATCATGTCTCAGGAGGAGCGTAAGTGATCTATCCAGGTTCGATTGAATGAACCAATGAGTCGGTACCGCATGCATGGTGTTGAGTTGCATATTTGCATTATAATATGTTATATTGTAATTTGAACAGTAGGTTCGTCATATGGAGTTGTTGGGGGTGAATATTGGTGTGTTGGTGTGTTTTACTACCTTATTTACATGTATTACATTACCATTATATTCTGATCATTATTTCTCACCCCTTTGTTGTTGTTGTGGTCTGTGCTTCTTCGGAAGTACAGATAATCCAGGTGTTTAGCTAGCTTGGATATTGGTGTGACCGTCGAGTCTAGGATGCTCTGATACGTAACACGGGATATGGGTGTTGTAATTGTTTTATGTCAAACGTGTTGAAATCCTGTGACGTATCATGTTTTGATGTATTTTACTTTATGAAACAAATTCCGCTGTATTATTTTAAAAAGAATGAATAAAGTATTTTTATAAAATTTGGAGATGTGATATCCCACTTTTTGGTGAAAACTCTGATTATTATTATAATATTTATATTTTATTTAATACGGGAAGTGGGGTGTTACATGTGTGACCCCCAGAAGTTTCTGAACCATAGGCGGAAGATTTTAGCATTGCATCAGCTTGAAGCGAAGTGGTTTCAGTCAGTTCTCACCGCTTCTGGGTTGAGTGACCTATGCTTGACCGATTACACTTTGGTCAACCACGGTATGTTTGGAGCATTCGTGAAGCGATGACGCTCTGAGACCTCTTCCTTTTATCTCTTGCATAGTGAGATGTCGATTACACCAGACGATGCTATATGCCTGTACTTTTATCCCGCTGAGAGGGAACCAGACGTTCGAGCCTTTCAGAGTCTATCTTGACCGCTTGGTTGTTGAGGACATCCACTTCAACTGCTACATGGATCGCCATCAGACGTATCCATTTCAAGACATATCGCTATACTCCGATGGTTGGCCTGCTCATTGACGGTCACTGCTCCTCATATGCCTGAGCGCGTCATGCGGCAATTCGGGTACACCCAAACCATCCCTAGACACCTTGATGTCTATGCACCTCCGACCTTGACTTATATACAAATAGAGGATATGTTTGCTGATTATTAGAGTCATCTGGTACCAGATGAGGCTCGGGCTACCATAGCGCTAAATGATTGAAGCTACGTCGACAGATACATCAGGTGATTTTTTAAGGTCTCACATCCATACATGGTGCCGACTGCTCCAGGAGATCCGCCGAGACTCATTCATCAAGAGATTCTAGAAGAGTAGCAGTCTCAGATGAATCATACTGAAGATGTCTTGTCTCGTTGTCGTCGGATAGTGGAGATGGCACGGACAAACATTACCGAGGTTATCTTCCCTGAGGGGTTGTTATCAGACGAGTACTGGATGACATTATTATGGAGGCACATATGACACTTTTATATCGCAAACATCGCGCGAGGACAGGAGGATCGATGACCGAGGAGGCAGACCAGGTAGAGGAGGCAGATGAGAGGTTGTCAGGCACACCCAATAGTTGTCTGTATTTATTTTGTTTCAATACTGTAGTTTATACGCTTTTCTCGACACTTTTATTATATTTTGGATTTACGTGACGTATGACATCCTATTACTATATTGTTATGTTATTTTGGTGTGTGTGTGTGTTATTTTATAATTCATCTGCGAACAAATACACAATGCGTTTTAAAAAAAACTGTTCTGAAACACTTCGAAGATGTATCTTTGAAAATTTTTCGTAAATGCATCTCCGGACAAATTCAAATAGAAATGAGCTATGAGTGATATGTTGTTAAATATTATTAAATCATGAAACACGTTCGAAAATATATCTCTGAAATCTAAATATATTTATAAAAAACCACGTAGTAAAAAATAAATCCTTAGGATGACATAAGAAATTCTCTAAAAATATTGCAACGAAAATTATTTTCTAAAAAACTATAACTCTAAATTTTGTAATGAAATTAGAATTAGTTTTTGTTCAACAACATTCAAATATGTAAAAATCATTTGTATATTTCCTAAATTGAAAGTACTATCAAACAATGCCCTATAATGCCTCCATTTGGCAATTATCCTGAGAAGGAAAAAGTATCAACTCTCGATTAATCCGCCCTTCTTACCCACAACTCCGTCCTGATGCACTAATTCATACTAATCGTTTGCCACGTAGATAGTCTAATTCATTATTACAATAAGTTTCACTCTTATTAAAGCAATGCATCTTCCTTTGTTTTTGGAAATCGGTCTTCTTCTTCTCTTACAACTTTTCTTCACTGGTACCTATCTCTCCCTCTTTCTCTTTGCAATTAGGGTTCGCTCGATCTCTTTCGATTTTATGCACTTTCATCTCTAACTTTTATTACTGTCCAATTTGAAATTATATTCAAGTAATCCGTACATTAATCTTGTTTAATTGTGAAATTATGAAATCACATACACACACGTTCATTGGTTTGATTTTGATTTTAGTTTTTCATTTCAAACACGTGAAGATGCAGGTTATCGGTGATCAGATTGTTTCTAGATTTGTTAAACAATATATACAATTTATATGATCATGTTTACTTGTTTACCAAGATGATTTTTTTTTTGAATAAAATTTCTGGCCACTAATTTTGTGATTTGAATTTCACAATGATTCATGTGAATGTGGATAAGCTTTTGAGATCTTATTTATGATTAAACTTGATTTGTAGAAGGTAGAATCAAATTTGGTATTCTTTGGTGAAACTAGACATATTAATTAATTCTGGCTTTTGGAAGATATTGCAGAGTATTTGAAGCCAGATTGAATATGGCTGCGGCTGCACAACCGAATGCTGAGCTGTTGGAATGGCCAAAAAAAGATAAGCGGCGCTTCTTGCATGCTGTTTACCGTGTTGGTGATCTTGATCGCACCATCAAGTAAGGTTTACTTAACTTGGATTGTTGAAATGTGCTGTGATGTGTGTTTAGAGGCTAAAAATTTCCTTGCTGTTTCTCTTAGGTTTTATACTGAAGCTTTAGGAATGAAGCTTTTGAGGAAAAGAGATGTTCCGGAAGAGAGATATGCCAATGCTTTTCTTGGATTTGGCTCTGAACAAACTAATTTTGTTGTGGAGTTAACTTATAGTATGTTGCACTTTCAGCCTTTTTTGTTCATGCATGAAGTGTATCATATGTATATTGTGATTCTCTAAATTCTATATACGTTTTCTTACCATCTGCTGGGTCTACATATGATGTCAGATTACGGAGTGACCTCTTACGATATTGGAACTGGCTTTGGACATTTTGCTATTGCAACTCCAGATGTAAGCTATAGTCATTCTACTTTCACAAAAGCTTGTTCATCTAATTGCCCCTTTTTATACTGAAGTTGAAGTTAGTACGTCTTCCACTTTTAGGTCTACAAATTTGTTGAAGGCGTTCGGGCTAAGGGCGGAATTGTCACTAGGGAGCCCGGTCCAGTTAGTGGTGGGTCAACTGTTATTGCCTTTGTGAAGGATCCTGATGGTTATATTTTTGAAATTCTCGAAAGAGCTTCAACCCCCGAGCCATTATGCCAAGTAATGCTTCGTGTTGGTGACTTAGAACGTTCAATTAAGTTTTATGAAAAGGTAACTTCCAAGTCAATTTCTTCTTTAGATAACATTCATTGAATCACTTTCACTTCTATCATAATTGTTACATGTTCTATGCTTTTACCTCAGTTTTATAAATATTCACTGTGGTATGTCTGCCCACTTTAAATTTCAAAATTGGGTAACATAGTTTTTCATTTCTTTTTTAATAATAATAATAATAATAATAATAATAATAATAATAATAATAATAATAATAATAATAATAATAATAATAATAATAATAAAGCTTAATTACACTTTTGACCTCCCTATTTTACCTGATTCACAAAATTAGTCTCCCTATTTTAAATTTAAACAGTTTTGGCCGCCTCCTATACTTTTGCACTTAAAATTAAGGATGTTTCGATTTTTTAAATGACAAGTATCTTATGAAACATACAAATCATCGTATAGGAACCTATTGTGGAACTTTATAGATAAAAATATAAGGTATTAAACGAACACCTCATCAATTTTCTATAAATAAACGTGAGAAGAAGACTAAAACTGTTTGAATTTAAAATAGGGGGACTAGTTTCATGAATGAGATAAAATTGGGGGGCCAAAACTGTAATTTAGCATAATAGTAATAATAATAATATTAATTGTATGCATATAAGCTTTACCTTCTGCTGATATTTTGGTGATAGTACATCTTTCAATCTTTGTAGCAACTCCCAAAGATCAGAATGAAATGATATTGTCATGCTACCTTGATTATGCTCCATTGAGAAACTAGCTAAGCAATTTTAGGCTTATCAGTTTAGATAGAATAATAATTTGAAAAAATATGTTCTTTGTAGTTACATATTTTTACCAGTAAACTGTTAGACCTTCAGAATTACAAGGAACGGATCGTTTCTATTCTGCCATGCAGTTATTTTATTAGCCCTTATTGTTTTGTCTTTCTGTCAGTTACATTTTATTAATTAGTTAATTACCTGTGTAAGTTCTGTAGGCTGTTATGCTCAATAAATAGGAAGATAGCAAGGCATAGTGTGGGATATCTGAGAATTAAGTGGTTAGTGGGAGAGACCCAACTCTCAAACATTTGGGAAGGGGAGAGAACCAAGCTCTTGAAACTTGGTAGGAGGAACTGTGTCTTCTACACTGTTTCTTTCTAACTTACCAATTCTGCACAATACAATTCTGTGATTCTATGTTCTATCTTTGCTTTGGGAACTTTTTCCCCAATGGATATCCAATAATAAACCGTTGTTATACAGTTATTTAACCTATTGGCACCAGTTTCTATCATAAACCTTTCTCATTGCAATAACGAACACTTTCAATTATTTCTTAAATCAAATATCCAAAAGCTAAAGCTATTTAGTGGAGACCTGTGAATGATTTTTATATCAAATATTCCTGCCATACTAGTCTACTCTACTGGCCTTTTAGTGTTAAGTCTGTTGACAATTTATAAGTCTATCTATCCTTATTGGAATTCAGCATTTATCTCGAAAACGTGAGGGATTAAAATTTAATTCTTGGCAATTTGGACACAGAAGCTCAAATAACTTGTTATAAATTAACCATCCTAAATGATCGAGCTATTATGTGGTTCATAAATGGTTTTTATATCTAGTATTTTTGCTTGGACGTCTAGTGTCTAGTGCTTATGTTGATGATTAAAATAAAAACCTCTTTCATCAAATGGTTTCCAACTTTCTGTGCTTGAAGTAGAGCAACTGCATTGTGGTTTATATTTCATTTAGGCAACTTTGAATTGACTGAATTTATCTTCTATTTTGTATGGCACAAAACATTTAGACTCGGGAAATAATGAGTTTTTTTCTCGTGATTGACACAACCCTGACGCAACTTTTGATATACTGTAATTTTAAGTTTATTTCTGATATGAATCAATAACCTAAAAGTCTAACTTATTAGATAAATCACATGAACGTGATAGAAACCAACTGATATAGAATAGTAAATAGGGAAAATCCCTTTGGATTATAGATTAAATAGCAGAACATTGAGGTCTGCACCTCCCAGTGTCAAAATGACCCCTTTTCTCATCAAATTCCACAATGATCAACTCCCCAATGTCTTCTCCTATTTATTCTAAACCTAAACACTCTGAATTAATTATAAGTCTCCTAAAAATCTAATAACATTTACAAAATTGAAGAGTCTAACAATACTCCGCCCTAAAAATCTAAAAACCTAAACACTCATTTTTGCTGCTGCAGAATTTCTTATGTGTGACAGCAAAGATGACATCGGCGGATAGCTGAACTTGGACGGGACCATGACATGAGTACCTTGTACTCCTTCCTTGTCCAACTCTTCACCACTTCTTTGAACCTTTACTTGAGTGGCACTTGTCGATGAATTTGTATTCTTCACTATGTTACCCTCACGACCAAATTTGGTATCCATTGCACAATCTTCTTTTTTTGCTGTATTTTTTGATCTGTGTGTACCTTCAACTTCACCACAAATTGTTTCTTCATATTGAGATGCTAGTGGTTCTGAATTTTTATCATGAATTTCATCTCTGGCTCTGTTTTCCTGTTCTTCATTTTCTGAATCAGCAGACAATCCCAAACTTCTGGTTGGAGTTTCTCGAGGATGGCCTTTGAAAACTCCCACCAACCAATATTTGGATGTCTTTCTTTCCAAGATTTTCACCAATCAAGAGCATCTCCTTTCAATGCAAATGCAACAACCCACCCAAGCTTCATCTCTTCACTCATTCTTCTTGACCCAAAATATTGCTCAGCCTGGATCATTCACCAATAGGCCTCCCTTCCATCAAATCTTGGAACCAAATCTGCAGCCATATTCATGCCAAAATTTCCAGCACACCGGCAAAATCTTCCTGGATCAGAATGGCTCTGATACCAATCGATATAAAATAGTAAATAGGGAATATCCCTTTGAATTATAGATTAAATCACAGAATTCGAGGGTCTGCACCTCCCAATGCCAAAATGGCCCCTTTTCCTATCAAATTCCACAATGATCAACTCCCTAATGTCTTCCCCTATTTATTCTAAACCTAAACACACTGAATTAATAATATAATAATTATAATAATTACCGACTAACTCTCCTAATAATCTAAACAGTTACAGAACTGAAGAGTCTAACAAAATGGTTTTTGTTTTACATGTCAGCTGGCACAGGAGCCTGACAGGCTTGAAATGTGGACAATGCGTAGGCCCACGAAACTTTGTGCAGAAATTTATTTTTTAATAATGGGGCCAAACTAGAATCAATATATGGGTCACTTTGTTTTAGATACACTGATACTATGTCATGAACTAGGCACTGGCAATACTAGAAGTGTAAGATATTGGGTGAAAGCACAGGAATAGTTTTATATATATAATACTTAATCCAACAGTGTTTTTTATTAACTTAGCATGTATTCTTACTGATCATATTTTCAGACTTTGGGTTTGAAGCTGGTGAAGAAGGTTGATAGACCTCAATACAAGGTGAGCTCCCTTATTAACTTAGTCTCAGTAATCTTCGTACGGACCATAGCATTTTTGTAGCATATCCAATGATTTGCTTATGATATTCCTGGTTTACACCACACATCCTACAGTACACTTTAGCTATGCTTGGATATGCAGAGGAGCATGAGACAATTGTGTTGGAGCTGACATATAACTATGGTGTTACTGAATACACCAAGGGAAATGCTTATGCACAGGTTAGTTAACGATTATATTTCTTTCTGGAAACTTAAACCGGTATCTTCACATTTCTGCACTAGATAAAATTTGTGTGGTGTATATAACAGGTTGCTATTGGCACTGATGATGTATACAAGAGTGCTGAGGTAGTCAACATAGTAACTCAAGAGCTTGGAGGGAAGATTGCCAGGCAACCAGGGCCAATTCCTGGCCTTAACACAAAGATCACTTCTTTCTTAGATCCCGATGGATGGAAAACAGTAAGTTTTCTTTTTTTGTTCCTTTCTGTGTTTAATTTTTTATTTTGAGTGAGGTTGCGACTTAGTGTTCCTTTAATTAGTTGATAAAGGATTTGACCGGGCAAAAATCATTGCTTCATGTTTAATTTCAATAGTGAACCCAGTACTAGGCAAAAAGAGTGATAGACTGGACAAAAATTCTTTATCCTGCCAAATCACATGACAAATATTTGTTCATTGACATGCTACCTAAAATATTGTGTTGTCCATTGTCCACCAAACACCATACAACATAAAAAGTTGTTTAGTAACATTGAGGTTTGTGTTTTGTCTGTTATGTGTGCTAGTACTATCAAATGCGACATTAATGTCATATTTGTTTTATGATAGAATCGAAAACTAAAATAATTGGTGAATTATGGTGTAGAAGAATAGTTTCTAAAGAATTGGATGTAGATTGAGGCTACCGCAAATATGGATATTTTTGGCAACACGGGATTGCAGTGTGGTTTGCGCGGCTTGATATTATTTAGTATGATGTTTCTGTACTTAAGTTTTTAGGTCCTCGAATATTTGAAGGTTGGATGCATGCCGTCCCCTTAAAATTGGGGAAGAAATTGAATGTGGAAGATAGAGGGGCCATGTGGTCGAGGGATGTGGAGGAACGGAAGGGGAGAGAGTTGGATCCGAGGACGGAGGCAAATGTGAAGCTGGAGGGATTCGTGCTGGTGGTGGCTGTGATGGAGAGCTTGGCCTGATGGAGGAGAGGATCCATACGATGCTTTGAGTGTAGGACTTGTAACCTAACTCACAACTCTTTGAGTGTAGGGCTTGTAACCCAACACGTGAGTTGGAAGACGTGGGCAGCATATGATTAGCAGATTATGCACCACTTATCATGTGATGTTAGAGGTCGTGAAGAACTGTGAGAAATGATGAGAAAGAGGAGGAAAACACAGGCATGAGAAATGATGAGAAAGAGGAGGAAGACACAGGCAGCGCGTATGGTGGGCAGATTATGCACCTCTTGTCATATTATTGTAGAGGTCGTGAAAAGCTGCGAGAAGAGAAGTGGATGGAGATGCTTAATGCAAGAAGGTGCACAATGCTATAAGCTGTTGAGAGTCCTATTTTAAGGCATGGTCCCAACTCCCATGGAAGAGAGTTATACTATTTAGTATGATGTTCCTGTATTTGAGTTTTTAGGTCCTCGAACATTCCGTCATTTTAAAATTGGGGAAGAAAGTGAAAATGGGTGCATGGCCCAGAGGGAGAGAAAGAGGTGGATTGGGTACAGAGGCAGTCGGTGCACAATTCTATGGCTGTTGATAGTCCTACTTTAAGGCATGGTTTCATGAAAAAGTCAATGACAATGCCCTTGCTTAGTATGAAAGGGGTGGAAGATAGAGGGGGCATGTGGTCGAGGCATGTGAAAGAACGGAAGAGTTGGAAAGGGCAAAAGAGTTTGAGCCGAGAACGGAGGTGAGTGTGAAGCTGGAGGGATTCATGTTGATGGTGGCTGTGATGGAGAGCTTGGCCAGATGGTTGATCCAAATGATGGTTTGATTAACTCACGAATAAGTTGGAAGACATGGGCTGCACATATGATGGTAAAATTATGCACTGCTTGCCATGTGACTGTAGAGGTCGCAAAGAGCTGCGATAAAGGAGGGGGAAAGAGGCGGAAGACGCGGGCTGCACAAATAATGGGCAGATTATGCGCCACTTGTCATATGATTGTAGAGATCGTGAAAAGCTGCGAGAACGGAGGATAGCGAGGTGGACGGGGCACAAATGGAAATGCTTGGTGCCAAATGTGCACGATGCTATGGCTGTTGAGAGTCCTACTTTTAGGCATAGTCCCATGGAAGAGTCGGCATGTCTGCCACTTGCATAGCATCAACAGGGTAGGAGATAGGCGGGCTTGTGTTGTGCTCGTGGGAGGTGGAAGAAGGGATGGGAAAGAGAGTTGGAGTCAACGACAGAGACAGATGTGAAGCTTGAGAGAGTCGTGCTGATGGTGGTTTGTATGGATGACCCGCATAAATGATTTGGTCCGCTTGTCATATGATTGGAGAGGCTGTGAAGTGCTGCAAGAAAAGCGCCCTTCTCTGTAGTGATAGTGGTAGGTCTTATCTTGCATATTCTTAACGATACACTGTTTGTATGAGCTGCATAGTGTGTCCACCAGTTGACTGGAACGAAGAATATAAAAGAACCGAAGTTCAAGAAACATAGTAATGGGACAAACACTGTTGGTGATGAACTAATAAAATGCAGAAAGAATGACCTTTTGAAGCCACAAATGTCACGTATTTTCAGCATTCTGGTTTCTGGTTTGTATATTTTTACTTTGTGTCATGTTAAACCTCTACAATAAACAGATTGGAATTATTAAGAAGTATTTCTGAAGCTGTGTAAAGTTTGAACCTCTTTTCATAATCATAAGGTCCATATTAGAGGGTGGGGGTGGGGGTGTCAATTGGATCCACTAAGCTAAAATCTATCCAAGCCATGCACCAAATAATTCATCCAATCCATTTATTACATATAAAATTAGTTAATGGATTGGATCTAATCCATCCAATTAAAAATATGGATCCAACCCATCCATTATATTTAAAAAATAATAATTAAAATATTTAAATTTATTTAATGGATGGATGAATGTTAATCTATTGAAAAGATGATAATGAATGGATTTTATCCTTAAGGGATGAGTTTTGATTGAGTTGTTTTAAAGAAATTTTTGTGTATTATTAATGGATTAATGTATTGTTTTGATCCATGCATTAGTATTTAAATCTAATCCATCCATTTTCCCATTTTTATTAAAGCACCATAAATCAATTAGTTTCTCTTGGTATAAGGATGTTTAGCCCGAGGATGTTATGTAATTTTTCAACGTGGCTTAGTGTGGCCTAGTAACGGGGAATTCATTGTGACTAGCAACTTTAAGTGGTCGTAAAGTGAATACTTAAAATAAAACTGCCTAACATTCTGTTTCGAACAACATTAAGAGAGTGTTGGGGTTTGTCCATGTAGAGAGAAGACATGTAGTTGAAGTTGTAAGAAGAGTAGATGGAGAAAAGTATAAAAAAACTAGTGGTAGAGGGAGATATAGAAGAACTATAAGAAAAACGAATTGAATAAAGATATGGTATTAAATAAAATATTATGATAGAAGTTGGTCCATCCCGAATTGAATAAAGATATGGTTTTGAATAAAATATTATGATAGAAGTTGGTCCCCCATAGGGGAATAAGACTTAATTATTGTTGTTTAGTAACAGATAACTTAGAAAGAGAGGATCTCCTGTCCTAACTCGTAATCAATATTCATCTAATTATTGAATTCAACCTTTTTGCCATCCATGTTCATATATGAATATCTGTTAAGAAAATTGTGCTTTATTAAAATATTATAGCATGGTTGAGAGAGATAAATATCAATAGCATTTGACCTATCTTTCAATTAAGATTTTGATTTTGTCACATCTTATGCACTTAAGAAAACACGTTTGACTTCTGTCAAAAAGAAAAAGATAACAGTTTGACCATGTGGGGCAGCGATAGAGTACTACATCACTTTGAACATGTACCATATTTTGCATCGATCAATTCGTTGCCTTCATAAATCCTAAGTATGTGGTTATGATTCAATTTGTATAAATTTTGTAGGTGTTGGTTGACAATCAAGATTTTCTGAAGGAGCTGGCGTGATGAGTTCTGGCTTTTTCGTGAATAATAAAAGTCTTGATGCTATGTTATGAAAATAAGTTGTTTGTTTTTATGATTGAATATCAGCATGTATGTTATCGGTAAACAGGGTGATGGTATTCGGTTTGGCTTTTATGATGTGAATTCTGTTCTCGACTCAAACTTTAAAGTGTGAGTTGCTATCTATCATACATAGAGAATAGAGACAAGTACATGTATATGTGCCAACTCAAACTTTGTAGTGCGAGTTGTTAAGTTACAATTTCATTTGCCATTTGTGAAGAAAAATTGACTTCAATTTCACACATTTATCATGGGATATAGACTATGCAGGAAAAACGTAATACGTTATGTAAATGAACGAATGATACGCATTGAACAAATTAGAATTGATGTGTGTATGGCTTAACTATGCAAGTACTCCTACCAAAGTTCAAGGTATTACTAATGTGCATTGAAATATTAAATGGCTAATGAGTATGGCAAATTTGACCAGCGCTATAACATATGGATTATAACATATGGGTTAGTTATGCAAGTAAGTACACCAATGTTGAAGATAATATCATGCGCATCATCAAATGCATTATAGGGAGGACTTGCAAACCTTTTTAATAGCTTAAAATAAATTTGGGGATTTTATAAAGATTAATCTTTGGGTTCGCGTAGAACAAATATGAATTGTATCTCCGGAATAGATTTTGGAATCAATGGGTGTGTGGCTGAATTACGATGGCTGGTTTGATTTTAGATGCGTGGCAAATAGGTGGCTTGTCTCGTTTAGGCTTGCTCCATTTAAGTCCGTCCAAAAGCGGGGCGGGGCGGGCCAACTTAGGCGTCCGAGTTTAAAAGTTAAACCCGCCTCGTTTGTTGGCGGGTTGGCGGACCGGTCCGTTGATTTTTAATTTTTAATTTTATAATTTGATACACTACATAATTAATTTTTATTTATTATCAAAGAGGTCGACAAATTAACAACGCATAATAGAACTTCAACGTGTCTTAAGTTCAAACAGTTTAAAAAATAAAATAAAAATCAATTACAACAAAAAAAACTACGAAGTGAACTCAAGCACAATAAAAAACGTATCAAAATAAATAAATAAATAAATAAATAGTACAAATCATCCTAATCCTATTTAAAAACTAATTACTAAAAAAATCCAATTAAAAATTTACAAAAGACAAAGAATGATAATAATTACATTGCATAAAACATCACAATACATAAAATATCAACACCTAACATTCTCACTGTTTACATCATATAGACTCTTATATTAACCGATTTTTTAATAGTTAAATTCTAAATTTGTCACACGTATACACTAATCAAATATTTTCTTTTCTTAAAATCAATATCTATTTCTAAAGAAAACATGTGAGCTAATGTTGGACAACTTAATAATTCAGTATGCTATACAATTGTTCTTTTATTTTAAGTTTTTCCAATAAACACATGTATTAGAAAATTATAGAAAAAACGTTACAATTATAATTCAATTTGTTTGTGTAATAATTTATAATACAATTCAAACAATATAATCCTAAGAGAAGAGTATTTTTATAGTTAAAGTTGTTTTAATTCTAAGTAAAATAATAAAAAGTTTTAACAAAAAGTCCGTAGGCAAAATCCGTCCCGCCCTGCCTCGAAACATTTTTTCAAAAGGATTAGGCGAGGCGGACCAACTTAAAATATCGACATGAAAATCTCAGCTCAACCCATCAAAAATGGCGGGTCAAACGGGCCGATCCAACTGGTCCGATCCATTTTGCTACCCCTAGTCCAAAGATATATTTTTGAATATAATAAAATAATTTTTGAATTCTTAGAGGTGTGAGACGCCGGACGTATCCGAGGTAGGATAAGTATTCTCATATTTTTAAGAAAGATCACTTATTATAGTGAAGTAATTTGATGAATATGTGGACTACAAGTGAGTTGCTCTTTCCCCTATTTAGTTGTAAATAGTCATCATTATAAAATTCAAAATTGTTTTTGGAAGACTACGGAAGTTAACTTTCAGATTCCACCCGTACACACCTTATGAAATTTAAAAATGTTTTTGAAAGAGTACAAAAGTTATCTTTCAGAGGCCTTTAATACACATCAAAATACTATGTAAGTGACCACCCATATTTTACCAAATGTTTGACGGAAGATTGAGTTTATAAATCAACTTTTAAACGCTATTAATACACATCAAAACACTTCGTAAGCGAATCGCCTTATTTTTTAAAAGAATTATGAACACATTTTAAACTTATAATAATGTAATTAATCTTAAATTCAGTGAAAAATCTAGATATTAAATTTCAAATTAAATCTTAGGTTAAAAAAAATTTTGGACAATAAATTTATTGTAGATTTAACATATTTTAATAAACATTATATTTTAAGGTGTTTATACAAAATATATATTATGATAAAAAAATCATAAAGAAATGAAACCTAAAAAGCAGAAAAGAAAAATCAAACAAACTATAAATATTCAAAAAATGCAAAAGTTTTCAAAAGTTAACTTCCATACTAGAAGAGATTAAAAAAATACACAATTGATTATATTTGAATGTGTCTAGAATTTAACTTTCGAATTTTAGAAATATTATTAGTTTTATTAGAGGGTGGACACTACTGAAGTTGCAAAGAGAAATGCCTTATTTAAAGTTAGAGTTATAATTTTGTGAAAATAAGGTTAAGATAGGTTTGAAGGAGAGAAAGAGTTTGTTAATATTCGTAGAATAATAAATATTAATATCTTAATTGACATTTCTAAGTGAAATATATGTGCCAACTCAAACTTTGAAGTGCGAGTTGTTATATTGACTATTTGATTTGTCAATTATGAGAAAAATTGACTAAATGAAAACTTTTGGTTACAAATCAATTTCACACAATTAATGATTAGAGATTGATTTTGCATAAAATTATAACTTTCAAAGATTTATGAAAATTGAATGAATGAGAGAGTTTGAACCAATGAGGAGAATCGGTGTTTAGATGGCTTAACTATGCAAGTATCAAAGCAGAAGATATTATTATTATTTTTTTGAAATATAAAAATGTGTAGTTGATTTGATTAATCTTCATATCGTGTTTTAATATATTAATTATTTAATAACTTTAAAAAATAATTTGTCTCGATCAAAGAAAGTTTTATTCTATAAAGAGCTATACTATGATGACACTCTTTTCTTACACCATGCAATTTACACCGTATATATTGTTGGTGCAAAGGTGAATAAATGATGAACAAAGAAAATATTCTATTAAGAATGACGGCTACAAAAACATGATAAAAATTACAATGATTGTCACCCTATTTATAAGCTAAAACTAGGGTTACTAGAATAAGATAAAATACTAAAATACCCTCTTACAAACTTAGGGGCTAAGAAAATAGTACAACTAAATAAATACGAATTACTATTAATATTCTAATACCATCTGTCGCTACTGCGAAAAATCGGCGCCGGCTTGACAGGAGAGTCGCCACCGTGCGTTATTTATCCCTCAGAGCGGGAAAGGAAACGCTCGAAGTAAACCTCGCAAAGACGGGAAAAGGTATGGTCATCGCAACCAAAACCTGGATTCGGGAGTCGGTTACGCAAGGGGAAGGTATTAGCACCCCTCACGTCCATCGTACTCGATGGGATCCACGCTTGGTGTTTATAGGTAAAAGGGTGTTTTATCTATCTACGCTAATGGCTGGTCTGAAAAGAAAATAAAAGGACAGGACTCGACAGAACATACGGTGTTCTGGGCCTACGTATTCCCTCGTGCAATGGGAAAGTCAGAGTCAACGTAGTTCGACTACCTACGCCTAAACGGGGAAAAGGTTGCTCGCCAGGACATCGCGTCCTGTGCCTACGTACTTTCATCTGGTATGAAAGATCAGAGCAAACGTAGTTCGACTAACTACGGGTAAACAGGGGCTCTCACACAGCAGTGAGAAAACAAACTGGTCCTAAAGGCTCGGGAACCTACAACTACGATCTGGTCTCAAATGCACTCGGGCAAGAGAAAGGGATAACAATTAGTCGTTAGCGGGAAAGTCTCGATCGCACAGCCGCGAGAGAACAAAGGTTAGTCGTTAGTGTGCTCGCTAGGATATCGCATCCTATGCCTACATATCTTCGTCTGGAACGAAGAATCAGAGCAGCTGTAGTTCTGCTAACTACGAATCAAGCTACTCAAAAGCTCCCACAGAAAGGAAAGGGAAACCCTAAAACTATAGCTGAGAAACAGGGGAATCTACCTACTGCTATCACACCTGGTTGACCATCCTAATGTCTATCATAACAACTCCGCAGCGGAGAAGTCAGAGCTCCTAAGGGATCATGGCAATAGGACTGAACTACAAACAAGAAACTGCACAGTAAAGGAATGCTGAAAATATGCATGAATGCAACAACTAGACAAACAAGGCACAGAGGCCGCAAACCACAAAGGCAAGGGAGCTCAGCTCTACCAAATACCAACAAGCAAAGCCACGCAATAACAAACAAGCAGAAGGAGGACCACCTCAACTTCTCATGCACACAAAGTCTACTTCTAAGATGCACCTACCCAGAACTATCTAGATGAATACCTAAGTCTAATGCAACATAACATCACACAAGTCACACAATACAAAGAGATTAACCCTGAGCAGGGCCTCTAACAAACCTGAAACAAGCTCCTAATCCATCTCTCAAGCAAAACTCTATAACAAAACCCTAAGCAAAGATCTAAGCAACTCCTAATCAAAACCTTAAGCAAGAGGAATCAATCCCAGTCTCCAAGCTTCAGAACAAGCTTACCAGAGAAAAGGGAGCTAAGCAGACAAGCTCATAGTGCTTTCCTCAGGAAAGTACCAGGAGATTACTACTCAGGAGTCATATCCTACGCGGCTCGACAACTGTGATCAGTTTATATTCCTCCTCAGGAGGAATTAAACTCACATGAAGGCTCCGGCATCACGGGATACTTGAGAAATACCTATATGCACTAGGGAACTAAG